ACAACGCCCGGCCATTTTTTGGTTGCAGCCATCATTGTTGTTTGGCGGGCCCGGGCTGGGGATTCGAACCCGCCACCTTAGGTGTATGTAGCTGGCGCCTTAGCCGCTTGAGCCACAGGCGCCGAGCCGGCATTTAGTTTTTGTTTAGATTCTCACCTTCTGATTACCAGAGAGAAAAAGCATCTCTTTATGGTCATGCTAGTGTTTTCCCTTCCATGAATTATCCACTTGTCTTTTGCCTTATCAATTTGCTGAAGCTGTTTTTATGTTTGGGGAAGTGAATTACGGCTTTCTACATGGGCTGCAAATGTTTTCTCTCATGCTATTGTTTGTCTTTTGATTTTGGATAATGTTTTATTTTGCCATAGAGAATTATACATTTTTATATGGCTTAATCTTTCTGTCTTTTCCTTCATTGTAACTAGATTTTCTGTCTTGCTTAGCCAGGTCACCCTCACAGTGTTAAGTTCTGTTTGATTACATCTGTTTCCGCCAGCATTCAGGTCTTTGAAACAGACTGAGTTAACGTCTGTGCTGGGTGTGAGTGTGGTGCCTAATTTGATATGTCAACTTGACTGGGCCATGGGTGCCTGGATGTCTACTTGGACGTTATTCTGGGAGTGCTCCTGAGGCTGCTTCTGATTGCGGCTGACATCTGGTTTGCAAGTGCCCTGACTGTGTCTTCTTGGGAGGCAGAGGAATAGCAGGACTGGCCTACTGTGGCACAAAGCCCATGTCCACTGACGGGTCGACTTGGGGGTACAAAGGTCCAGTCCCTGCCCCATGTGGGGCAGTTCTAAAGGGCCGTCCTTGTGGAATCAGCCAGTTCTTTGAGTCGCTGGGCAGCTCTCCCTCGGCCAGTCCTGCTGCCCATGGGCACCAACAGATATGGTTCCCAGGAGGGCTCCCCAGTACTCCTGCCCATAAACCTTAAGGTCCAGTGTCTGCTTCCCAGAAAACCCAGTCCAGCATGGTTCTCTAAGCAGACACTAACTTGAGATTTGGGGTTCGGTCACCCTGAGGGGCCCCCTGTTGTGGTCTCCCTTGCAGCTGGCTGGTGCAATGGTGAAAGCCCTGTGTGTCAGGGACCCTCCCTCCACTGTGTCTGGGTGTTGTCTCTTAGAAGGAAATGCACTGGTTGGTCCCATCTTGGGTCCGAGAAGAACGGCTGGACCACGGCATCAGTGCTGTGCTTCCCAGAGCAGAGCAACCACCCTGGGGAGAGGGTGCCAGCATCATTGAGTAGCTGTGTGGGGCCTCCTTGCAGGCCCGGAATGATGGCAGGAACGACTGTCACAGTCTGGGCTGTCCTGCTGACAGGACAAGATCAAAATTTGAATCCATGGACTTTGAGTGAAGCAGAGGCTTTCCACAGTGCAGATAGATATCTGTTTTTTGTTGCTGTAAACTGAACACCTGAGATGGGCAATCTACAAGGGAAAGAAGTTTATCTCCTAGAGTTTAAAGACAGGAATCCATGGTCAGGGGCTGCATCTGGTGAGGGTCTTCTTGCTGGTGGGGTAGGGGGACTTCTTGCAGAGACCAAGGTAGCGCAGGGCATCAGTCACATGATAAGGGGACTGAGGAGGCTGACTGCTAGCTCAGGTCTCTCTTACAAAGACACCAGACCCATTAGCCTCTAATCCATTCATGATGCCAGAGTCCTCAGGACTCAGTCACCTCTCAGCTACTGCTCACTGAAGATTAAGTTTCAGTGTGAGTTTCAGAGGGGACAGATATCCAAACCACGGCAGTGAGTCTCTTCCAACCAGCTGAAGGCCTTCAGAGAGCAATGACTGGGCTCCCTGGGCCAGAGGGAGTTCTGCTGCCTTTGGACTTGAACTGCAACATTGGCACTTCCTGGGGTCTCTCCTGCCAGCCCACCCTGTAGGTTTTGGAGTTGCAATTCCTTAAAATGAGCTTCCCGGTGGCCTTCTCCCAACCTAGGCCTCCCTCTCTGTCCATCCTGTTGGTTCTGTTTCTATGGAGAGCTGATGCTGATACCTACAACAAGGGAAATCTTTGATTTTTTAAGGTTAAATAGAACTCACCTATTTAAAAATAGATGCTGGAGTCTTGTGGTTTTTAGAACAGATATTTAATAATCTTTCCAACCAAATCTTTAATTTCTAATTATGTCAAATCACTCTCAGTTGTCCTGGTCCAACCACTGGATAGTGAGTGGGTGGGATCCCCACTCTTGCCCAACTTGGAGGGGAGGCTGTATTTTCCAAATGGGCTTTCTTTAATTGAATTGGTGGTACACAATAGCAGTAGAAAACCTGAATGAATTCTCCGAGAGAAGGGTGGCTGTCACAGACCTCGTGGCTGGTCTTCAATGCCCAGCTTAAAGTGATGGCAAAACAAATGTTGGCAAAACAAATGTACTATTTACAGAAGATAAATTACCAGTGGTAACAGGCAAAAGAAGATAATCTTAGCCCTGTGATTAGAGTGAATCCAATTACACATCAGTGAAATTCTTTCCACGTAAGACTGATAGGAGTTTACATCAACTGAAATTGGTGTTTGGAGAGGGAGTCTACCACCCAGATAGGAAGGTAATTTTGTACAACATTGTTAGAGACTGGTTTGGTGATTTCTGCCAGTATTTTAAATGTGCAAATGCCATGACCCAGATTTTTTTTTTTTAAGAATTTATCATGTAAGAGATGCCTGCAGAGACACACAAACACATGTGCACAAAGGTGTTCACATGGTGGTATTTAAAGTAACAAAAGAGTCATTAAACATTCACTTTAAAAGGAAAAGTTGTGAAAAGTGTGGAATCATCATTGTGAAGTGTTAGACAGTTGTGAAAAAGAATGAAACAGTTGGGTATGAGGAGGCAGGGAAAATGTCCTGGCCATTGTTGACTGTAGGACACTCGTGCAGTAGATGTGTGTGAGTGTTTACGTGCTTAGCAAAACATCTAGAAAAATAGATGCCAGACTGCTGAAAAGTGGTCACCTGGTAGTGTGACAGAGTGGGGATGGTGAGGAGGAGATGTTTTTATTTTATTTATGTCTGTATCACTTGACATAACAATGAGCAGATATTACTTTGGCAACAAAAAAAAGATTTTTTTAGTGCTTGCACCAAAAATGCTGATGTAATTTTAAACCAGAAGGAGCAATTCCAGAGCTTCCTAAGGTGACTTAGTCTTAAAGGAAACTGGAAAAGGCACTAATTCTATTAATTAATGCGTCAGCAGATTCCATCTCAGCAGAGACGTCTTAATGAGGTGCTGGGGCATCCATTATATATCTTGCAAACACAGCTCCTGGGTCCTGCTCGTGCCAGGCAATATAATAGTGTCCCCGCCGAGGGCTTGGCTCCCGGCTGCATCCCTCTCCAGAATCCCGGCCTCCCATTCCCATCTCCGCGAGGCTGACCTCTGCCCACCCCTGGGCCCCGACTGCTCCACCATCTGTTCCTCTACCCCATACTTGGATCCCCGGGACCCCCCGCTAAGGAACCATTTCAGCATGGTCCGCAGACCTCACTCCCACCCCTCGCTGTGGGCATCCTGCACAAGTCCCCTTAGCCTCTCCCTGCGCCTTCGTTCTTTAACGTTGATGGGGATCTGGGACACAGAGCCAGCAGGTCTGAGGCAAATACAGGCAGCTCCTGGTTGAGTTAATGGCCGGAGTCTCAGCGGCATCCCCCTTCCCTCCCGGTTTCCATCCCGCACCTCCACCCTACGTGGTTTCTCTGGCAGGCAGCGGAGCACACGACCCTTCCCCCTGAGCCCCGAGCCCCGGGAGCTGTCCGTGGTGCTGACCACACTCGCTACCCACGCTCGGCCCCTGCGCACGCGTCTCGGGAGGGGCAGCGGGACTCGCCGGCGCCACCACTGCG